GGAGATTATAGGGTTCCCCCAGCCCCAGGCCAGGCCAGGCTCTGCTGCAGCCCCTCCTGAGAAGCCTTCTGAGTCCCATTCCAGTAGGGTGGCTGAAGGCCTTCCCAGGAGGTCCCCAGCCCTAGGCTGGTCTGGGCCACAGCTGCTGACATCTCGCAAATACCCTCTCGCCCCACCATGGCCTGCACAAATGGCTCCAAGCCAAAACCCATCTGCTCCCCAGCTGCGGCTGCTGGGCTGAGACACCTGAAATCCAACACTGTGAAAGCCTGTGCAGCTTGCGCCAGATTTAACCCTTTTACTACACAGATGAGACCTGCAGACTTAATCCGCTCTCCAGAGAGAGGGAAGTGGGAGCTCGACACGTAAAAGACAACATGAAACATCAAGGTCAGTAAAAGAAAGAGTCAAGTCTCAGATGGAAAGAGAATGAGGAGATGCTTTAATAAGCTGAAATATTCGTTTGGTGGGGCTGTGGAGATGAACAATAATGTTCTGAAAAACAACTCCTTTAATTCATGAAAGGGTATTGGAGGGAATGAAGTATTCAAACTGTAGATCTGAGCAAAGGTGTTGATTGATGAAACTAAGCAGGTGGTGGAGTAACTGTGATCCCATGAGATGCTTGAACAGAGAGAGAGAGAGAAGTGAGAGCTGATGAAGACCCTTTTCCCCAAGGGAGAGAAGAAAACCTCTGTTCCCAGAGATGATCACAAAGACAAATGAAGAGAACCTTTGCCTTTGAATAACTCATCCTTTAAATAATACCTCTTGAGTTCATGGCCCATGAACACATCTCTGAGTGGTGTGAAAATGGGAAGAAGGCATGATGGCAGTTTTTGCCCAGGTGGCTGCCAGTCATGGAAATGAAAAGCCACAAGGGAACTCTTTCTTATAGAGAGCTCTCCATAGAATGGCAAGAAAAAATTCCTCTCCCTACAAAAACTGATGAAAAGACTATTGTATAGTTGGTACTGCTTTAACATCCCAGGTTTTGTCTCTACAGTGTCAGTTGAGAAAAAAAAAAAAGGTTAGTTATGGGGGAGAAAAGGTCTCTGGAAGTTTTATTCTGATTTCTTATTCTATTAATAAAGTTTCTTTATTTCTTTTAAGTTTTAAGCCTGTTTTGTCCTTCTCCTAATCTATATATCAAAAATAGCCAATAAAAAAATTTTGCTATATAGCAAAAAATTAGTAAGTACTCTGGTGATTTTTAGCTAGTGCTAAAAACCACCACACTGCCTTTTTGCAGCTGAAAATCTGGCTGATGAGATCAAACCTAAAGGCATCTATTCCCATACCAGCACCTCTGACAGTGATGACATCAGGCTAGCAGGCAGGGCATGTTCTTTAGATAGGAAAACAACTCCTTTCTGTACATGCACCAGAGAGATTGAATTCAGGGTTAAATGTCTCTAAAATCCTTGACTGAAACAGAGGTTTAATCCCTAAAAGCAATGGAGAATAACAGTTAAGTAAGAGGTTTTGCTCTCAGCAGCAGGATTTAAGACTAAAACCTCTCCAGTGTTCTCTGCTTGGTGTAACAACCCCAAAATCTCCAACCTCTCTGTCCTAATTTGCCTCCTGTCTTTAATTTTGCACTATCCATGCCTCAGGAGATAATGGAAGGAGAGTAAACGGCTGAATGCTTCAAAACCCAGCTTCCTAGGATCAGTCCTAATTTGTCCAATTTGTTACTACCATGCATTCATGAGGATTTTTCTTCCAGAACAAAACAAATCTTCAGAACAAAACAAATTATTATTATTCCTGCAGAATTCAGAGTGGCTTCTGGAAGAAGGTGTTTCTTTGCACGATTTCTTTCTGAAGGATATACTCAGTGTGATAGTCAGGGCATGTGATTGCTGGGCTCCAGAGTAATGGTGAACTACCCCAAACAGATCTGTTGACTTCCATATCCCCAGTAGCTGGGTCTTGCTGTGGTAATAAAATCTCACATATTTTGTATGCAGCAGTGGCTGTGCAGTTCTCTTTATTTTACTCCTCCTTATTTTCACCTGTGTTTAACAGCAACATTTTTTACTTCTCTCCATGTACAGAAAACTTCCATAAGCTTCTAATTCTTATTTATGAACCTGGGGCGATCTCCAGGACATTAGCAGACAATTAGAAAAGGACTTAGAAAATGCAATGGATAGGAGTGGGCAAAAAGGAATGTGGTATGGCTGTGCCCTCTCAAGCTGTGTGCTTGTCTTCCCAAAGAGACTCTCCAGGACAAGGTCAACATCCATGAATTAGTGAAACAGAAAATCAGGTGCCTAATTATTGTTCTCCCTCCTGATGAGGAAAACAATGAAAATGAAGCAAGGCTGAGGAAAAGAAGAACCAAAGGCCCAGTTTATGTGTTCCAAGGAGCAGTGATTGCAGTTTTGGCAGCTAAAAGGCTTAATGCTTTAGCCCAGTCTTCTTGTTCCCTTTTCACATGGACAAAGGGCTTAAGAGGAGGCACTGAATGTGTGTCGGAAAATCCAAACATAGGCATAATCTGCCAGTTTGTGAAGAGGAAGAAATTGACTGCTTTGAAGCATTCAGCTGGTTTCCTAGTTAATTTCCATGCTGCAATAATCAGTTCCATGACTGAACTGCAGAATGTTGTTAACAAGCCAATGTCCTGGCTTTGTGGACACTTCCAAGTAGGTGCAGTCAGAAACTCCTTTTCAGAAATTATGGACAAACTGAATGTAATAACGAAGACAGTTCCACTAGTCCACAGCAAGTGTACCACTGATCTGGAGAAAGGCTCCTAATCTGGAGTGTGGATTGTGTGACAGACTGTCCAGTATGAAAAAAAAGCGTCCTTGCAGAAGCCAATATTTGAATATACAGAAAGGCTTCATGCAGCACCGATGGAACACCACTCACCACACCTACAACTTGCAGAATTCAAATGGAATTTCAGTGAGATGAAAAAAAGAAGCTGACAAAGTCCAGAGCCTGCAAGAGCAATTAAATATGCCTCAGCAAAAATTCATCACCCATGAGAGGTTTGACAGTGTAGGAGGATTAAGTAATGCGTTATATTGGAAGCATCAGGCACAATCACTTTTGAATGAACAGGAGCAACAGCTACAGGCGTCAAACAAAAAACTAGAATTGCACTTCAGTGAAGAAGCAGATAAAAGCCAAGTCTTACATGAAACTCTAAAAGAAGACACATAGAGAGCATCTGGCCATGGATGGGACCTGACAACTTCACAAAAGGAAAGTCTGCATTTTATAACTCAATCTTTATTTCAGATATGCAGACTTAAACCTCACTTTTCTGTGATTTGTCCATGGAGTTAGTTTGTTATCTTACTCTCTACTTTATTATTTTATTTGTTTTAAAATCACAACTTTGTGCATTAAAATGTCTTGGAAATAATATTGAAAAAACCCAACACCAACACGCCCTCCATCTCCCCTTATTTCATTTGTCACAATATATTTAAAATAACAACATGACACAGGATTAGCAAAACTACAGCTGAAAGCCATTTACAGAGATCAGGTCACAAATGAGAAATGAAGTTTTGAGACTTATCCCAGAGAATGTGAAATGTTATGGAGTTTTTATCTCTTGCAATTAAAACCTTCAGTCTTGAAGGATATATCCCAGGTATCCTGGTGGATATCCTGATGGATATCCTGTGCTGTAAGACAAAACCTGAAAGAAGCTCAGGACACCATGGCTTGTGCCAACAAAGAACTAAATCATCTGCATGCTAATTGTGCAGACAGAGAATTTAACAGGAACTTTAAAACTGGAGGTACACAAAGTACAGAAGTGCTTAGAGAAGGACAAAGTGCTTTTCCAGGATTCTGCAGGGTGGATTTTATTGAGTTGACATACATACTCACACCTGGGCCTCTAAATCTCTTGGCTTGAGAGGTTTCACAAGAACCTTTCCCTAACCCTAGCTCTCTCCTCATTGAGGTAAATATGTTCCTGCAGTCCAGAGAGGCCTCTGCTTTGAATTCTCTCCACAGACATTCAAAACTTTCCAGCTGCTTGTTCCTCTCTATAACCTGGGCAAAGAGTGCACTGCCCTGAGGATACACACATCCCTGGCTTTTGTGTCAGTCAGTCCTTTTAATTTCCTGCATTTATATTTTACTGTCAGGAGACCTTAAGTCTTAAAGTGCGTCTGGGAGGCCAGAGAGAGCGGCGGGAGCCCTGGCAGAGCTCCGCACTGGGTTTGGGGCATTGTGGCATCACTGTCCGTCCATAGCAACTACAAAATTCCTGCATGCCTTCCTTGGGCTCCGTGTTTGTCCCAGGACTCAAACTCCTGAAGTGCCGGGAGCCACTGCCCTCCGACGGTCCATCCCAGCTCGTCATGGTGGAGGAGGAGCACCACTGGGACAGCTCCTGGCATCGGCAGCAGACTGTCCAGTGAGTTTCTGTAGTTTCACTGCGGAGTTGTTACTTGCTCCAGGATTTGCCCATTTTAAGTTAGTGCGCCTTAAGGTCACAGTTAGATTTATTCTTGAGTGGTCTCTATTACCTTCAAATGTCATAGGACCTTCAAATGTTGTCTTGTTGCCCCTTCCACTGTCCCAGGTTGCTGCTCCAAGACCTGTCCAGCCTGATCTTGGACACTTCCAGGGATGTAACAGCTACTCTGGACAACCTGTGCCAGGGCCTCACCACCCTCACTGAGGAGAACTTCATCCTTGTATCTATTCTAAATCAGTGGCCTATTCCGAAGTATTCAGGATATATTCAGAAGTTTGCAAGAAAAAACTGACACAAGTTTTTAATCAAACATGATTCCCCAAGCAAAAACCTCTTCTGCTGTTTTGTTTACTTTTGGGGCTCCCACAAGCTGCTCCATGGCATTGATTTTTTTTTTTCCTAAAATAATATGTATGCTTTTGAAATAGTATGCTTTTGAATTTATCCCTTTGTGTGCTAGTAAGCTATTGATATGTATTTTAACAGAGGAATATTGCATATTCAAAATATTTAGTATTCCCAGATGACATTCTTCAGATGTAGTTTTTTTCTTTTCCTCTATGTGACTTCAGAGTAATTTAAATAAGTTTTAAGACTTCAGAATGATGTGACAGGAAACATTTTGTGTTATGAAACTACTTTGTTTTGTTTTATTTCTGTTCATTATGAGATTTTGGTGTAAATTACAATAATAAAAAGAATGGTGTTATGAAAAAATTAATTTATTAGTTCTCAGGGCTACATCTTAATGCAAAAATTCTTTGCAATTTGTGGAAGACCTAGAAGCCTTTAACATAGCAAGTGTTCTATTAGAGAGGTAGCCGTGGATATGTGATTTACTTAAAAAATCATAGTACCTTCATTTATCTCCCTTAGAATTATTTTGAAGAGAAGCAGACTTTGTAATCTGATTAGGAGAATGTAGCTCAATCTATGCTACATAACATTTTTTAATTTGTGTTCTGAAAACTCTTGACAGTGGATATTCTACTATATATATATTTGCTTCTCTACAATATTCAGGCTTAGAGGAGTAGCAGTACAATTCTGTTTTCTGAAGCTGACGTCAAAATGCAGTTGTGGTAATTGCTCACATGACATGGTAGTAACACTGCTGTGTAACTGTTCATGAGTGGTTAACAAATATTTTAGTAGGTTGACAAATAAAGTAAAGCATGTCTCTGCTGGAGGCTTTAATGGTTTTATGATATAGAATAGACTAATCTTTGAAGCTCATCAAGTGAAAGTATGTATGATTAACTATGTTCTTAATTCTCCACAGTTTATAGACTTAAAAACTGCATTTTGGCCACCATGAGTTCGCCCTCTTCAGACAACATCTCTTCCAGGGAAGCTAATCGGTGAGGTCCAGTTCTGGATTTTTAAGTGTAGCAGTTTAATTCCTGCTTTTGTGGCTTATTTATTTTCTAGATGCCTGAAATGATGCATTTCAGGCTGAGAAAGAACCAGATATGGTGTGATACATGCAAGCTGTCATAGAGTCATCAGGAGGTAGTTTCTGCCAGCATGTAGGAACACTGCCCAGGAAGCACAGGCGGGTTTTCCACATTTTTTCCACATTAACTGAAGTGGTAGAGGATGGCTTTAAGTCTTACCATGACCCCTGTGTTTTATAACTTGATAAGTTTTAGGTTAGATCTTTGGCACTATTTGTCACTCTTTAGTCTGTACAAAACTGCCAGTTATATGGGAACAACAAATCCACAAATACAGACTTAGGTTAGAAAATCGGACTGCAGTCTGCTCCTTCAGCTGCAAAAGTTTAGCAAAATTACACTGCTAGGTAGTAAGTGAAAGAACATTTATCTCTATTGCAAAATTACTCTGCATTTTCTGCCAACTGTGGAATTGAAGCTAGTGAAAAGCTGCTTTTCTGCAGTGGTCAGTGTTGACTGTAATAAGCGAACTTGGGAAGAGAACACTGAGAATTTAGGCTTTGAGCTACAGAATACCTTCTGCGATGTAGAACTCAAGAGCTATTTCACCTACTCATATGCTGTCATGAAGATTCTTAAAATCCTGCTAAAAATGGTGTCATAGGTGAAAGCTGTAGTTGGTAAAAAACATATTTTTGTTCAAAGTCAAGGGCTGATGAACTAGCAATACATGAAAATGGAAGTAGAAAACGTTCTCTGAATTTTTTTAAATTTTGCAAATTGTCCATGCTTTGAAACTTTCCAGGGGTTTTGTGTTTTGTCTTTGATTGAGTCTTCTGAGAGGTTTATGGTTGTAGCACTTCTAGTTGTTACATGAAGATGGAAGGAAACATCTCCTACAGGTGGTAATAGGAAGCTTTCATAACGTACTGCATTTGCTGGCCATGCTGTGACAATTAAAGAAAGTATCATAGGAAAAAACATTCTTAAGGCTAGTTTCTATTTTATTTGAAATGTTTAAGTAGACAACCAAAATGAACTGGTTAACATAGTAATAGTTCACAGTTCTCTCACTGGCTAACTGGGTGTTTATTTTTCTTTGTTTGTTTGTTTTTGTTGGTTTGGATGCTATTGGTTCTATACTAAGAAAAAAATTGTGGTTTTCTTATATATATATATATGAGTTTCCACCAATTGCATTGTGAGTTCAGAAGCTGTGCATAAAATGCTATTTCAAAAATGTGTCTAATGCTCTCTTGCCAGTACTTAATGTTCTCTGTTTTAATACTCTAATACACATTTTTCATTTCCATAGCATCCGTAATTTGCTAATGTTTGTGTGTCATATAATTTGTGCATGGTTTGGTTTTGCAGTTTTCTTTATTCCCGCCCCCCCCAATTCAGTTAACAGAATAGTTAATTGCATAGTTAGTTTCTCTTCTGAGTAAGTTTTAATGTTAATGTGTTTCCATTATGATTTTCTGTTGGTGGATATTTAATAGAAGAGCTGAAAGAAACAGAGTTCTTTAACTCTGACTGCTATACAAACTAATGTAATTTAATTAAAGCCTTAAAGGTTTTTACTGAAAGTAGTTTTTCTCTTGCTTTCCATTCCATGTAGTCTCCATGAAAATAACACTAAATCTCACCAGGTTTAAAGAAGCCAAATGACTCCCCTGCTGCCTGCAGACCAAATAAATGGTTACCCTTTCCATAACCCTTGTTTCTTGGACCAGGTCTTCCCTAGTTTTCAGTTTGGGTTTTGTTTTTCCCCCTTGGTGCTCTCTGTCTTTTAGCTATCTTCAGCTGAGATATACTTCATTCATCATCTCTGAACAAATTTATTCGCATTTATTTCTTCTGTGTTTTCCCCAGACAGAGACAAAAAAGGGTCTCTCAAACCTATTACATGATGTCCACAAACAACATTTTATTCAGCTTACAGATGCTCTGGCTGTTCAGGTTCTAGTTTTTTCCAAACCTTTTTGTTGCAGGACCTGAGTTGCATTAAATAAAGTGATTTTAATTGTTGATGGTGTCTTGCTCTTTGAGTCATGCTGGTTGCTCTGGGTATGGCTCTGGTAGTAAGTACTGAAAACGAATAATGGGCTTGTGGTTTTCTTGCAGTGAATGCAGGTTTAATGATTCTTATCTTCTACATTTATTAAACATACAGTACCTTGTGGAACAATTTCTGATGGACATACAGCTATTCTGATTTCACAGATGAAGTCTGTCATCTTTTTAAGTGGCAACATATTTAATATTTATTCAATTATAAAATATTTATTGTCTGCAGCTAAAAAGCCTGAAATTTCATCCTTTAACAGTTGTAATGTCTTAAAAGGCAAGATTTAGTCTAAGTTACCAATCCCCTCGTTGATGGCATTTGTGACTTTTTTGCCAGTCAAAAAAATAAGTGAGAAAACATAATCTGGTAAATTTTGGTCATGAAAAATGTTAATTGTGCCTATACACAAACCTAGAGGTAAAATGGTGACTTTTTATTTAGAAAGATCTATTAATTAAATCCCAGTGCAGTGTCATTTCTGTAAAAAAATACTTCATGTAGACAAAGGTACAGTATTTTAGTATTTACATTTCTGTATTATATTATACCAACCTAGTGTCTAATTTAATCATGGTTTTTTTACTGGTGTATTTCACATTTATTGCCCATAAACTCTTGCACTTTTGTGTGGAAAAAAAAATTATTGCTGTCTTACGTACTTAACATAATGTGAAAACCAACATATGTCAAATAATGTGAACACTTATTTTCAAGTACTGAAATAACTTAAATATTATCCAGTTTCAAGTTATAATAATTTCACTTTAAATTATTTAACTAGTTAATAAATACATATTTTTATACATATTTTTATATATATATGTATACACATTTGTACATTCTATGCATAAATTTTTCACTTTATAAATAGAAACTTGGTTTTGACTCAATTATTACTGCATGTGGTGCTCAACGGCTGATTCTGCTAATTGACAAGTAGATTTTGTCTTAACTGAAATAGTAGTGGAAATGAAGATAAAACAAGGTAGTTTGGAGGACTAAACCTTTAATTTGTGTTGTGCTTCTGATCAGTTGCATGTCTTTAGTTTGAATGTATGTATCTCTGAAGACAAAGTGTGTAAAAGAGAGTTTTTTCACACATCTGTGTGTTTGTTTAATGACAGAGATGGTTTTGAGATGGTAACTCATGTTAAAAAAGGGGACTCACTGTGGAGACAAAAAGCTTGACAATTGTTTTAACTTAAATGATTGGAATGATGTTTTTAAGACTCCTGGAAGTTAATTATCAAAAATTATGGAAGTTCATTATCAAAAATAAAGAGTCTGAAAAATAATAATGAACTTGTTACTCTTAAATCAACTTTATTAATCCAAAGTGCATCTATCTTTTAAGTTCCTGTTGTCACATCTCTCAAGTCTTGCACAATAAGCTATTCTATACAATCCTTTCTTCAAAGAGCAGTAGTAAGATGCAAACTGCACAAAGTCATTTTATTTATGTGAATATTTAAATCTTTAGGCCCATGACTGGGTAATTGAAGTAAAGAAGCATTTAAACTTCTAAGGAATACTAATTTTTTTTTGTTTTTTTGAAAACACGTATTTCAGCTCAGGTAATGATATACAAGAGTTCCAGATACCTCAGGATAGAAATCCATCAGAAATGGACACTGTTGAAGATTTGAGAAGGAAACTCCATGAGCTTGAGAAAAAAAATTCTGAATTAACCAATCAACGCAATCAAGATGTAAGGACTCTTTTTGTTTGTTTGTTTGCTTTATTTTACCCTAG